GAATTCTGATGTTTTAGAATAGTACAGGCTTTACTTACAATTCTTAGGAGATCTTTTTAGAAATTATTTTCAGGAACTTACTCATATTTGAAATATACTTTCTTGCTTTTTCTGTGAGCTGTTCAGTTTTCACCCATCAACTGATGAGTTTTCATCACTCAACGCGAAAAAAAACAAAAAAACAAAACGCAAAAGAAACTTACCATAGTTGCATTCGGCTCGAATAAGTGCAGGGATATCTCGCACTGAGGCAGATACACCCCCTTTAAAGTCGAGTTTTTCCGTTACGTGTACAACAGCTACACATAAAAAGGAGCATAAGCCTACACAGGCATACATACGTTCGTACATGTATACCGCATCGTTTCAATTTACGAGCAAATAAGGCATGTAACCGGAACCAACACACGAACGGCGTTGCGCAACACTGTTTTCGTTTGTCGGGACTTAAGCATATATGAGAAACAGGGTTTTTAGATCTCTGGAAGTAGAAATTTTGACAGGTAATCGATCATATAAGTGGACACCGAAAGATGCAAAAAATACGTCGGTTTTTTTCAAGTTGGACTTTTTTCACTTTGCGAAAAACTATTTATTGCTATTGTCAGTGTGAGTATCACCGGCTGTTCCAGGAGTTTTTAGCGTCGCTAAATTTCACTATTTGTTAAAGGGTATAATTAGTAGATTCTACTACATTTATTACAACTTGGAAAGTATTAGAAATGAAAAACTTAACGTCTAGGAATAGGAGTAATTCGTAGCAAAGTGAGTCTATTCTTGTCGCCACTACCTAACGGCTAATATTGGAGGTAAATCGGAGAGAATCTATAAACATACTTTCTTTATTACATTAAGTTAATGTCGATAGTTGTCGGCCAGAAGTTACAATTTCCTACCAATGTATCCTTAACTCGCAGGTTCATGCAGCTTGTTACGTTTTATTCAGAAGACGGTTGGATCTAGAAGGAAAAGAACGTTTATTCTACTTCTTCCTCACCCTTCTATTCGAATTTGGACTGCTACTGTCAATCGGTTTAATAATCACATACCCCTTTCATTCCGTCATTACTTAGAGCAAACACCATCCCTATGACAATAAAAAACTGCTTACTATAAGAGTAAATGACTGCAGGATAAGATGTTTTTGTTCTGCGTTAAATACATAGAATTAACTTACCCTTAACACCAAACCAGAGAACAAGACCTACGACTTGTCGTTGCTCAGGATTTCAGTTCAAGTTAAACCCAGAAAAATTACAAGTTACGCCGAGCACTCCCTATATTATATTGTAGAAAAGAAATCAGATTTTAAATGAGAAAGACTTCTCGGAAAATTTAATCGAAGTGCTGGGTACTTGATCATAGCGAGAATTAGAATAAGAAACTTTTTCTTCAAATTCATTAATGCAACCTTGAAGAACATTTTTTAATATCAGAGGTCAATCTTTTCAATACAGAAGAACGCAAATCATTCGCAGGGATCACTGGATGTTAAGATCCTACTGCAGACGGCTTTAAACGTGGACTGGAAGAGTTTTTCAAACAGTAGATTTTTTTAGTTAAAATTTTATTTGCGTCCTCATTGCCATTCTTTGAGCAAAACTGTTCACCAACGAAACGAAGTTCCCGTCGGTTGGAGGAGTACTTTTCTCTCTTATAAGTTAAATATCCATTAATAGCCATTGTCTTAATGAGAGCTAATTCCCACTCTCTACTCGGAAATCGCTTGTTTAATGTATTGTTTTCATTTGAACCACAAGCAATATATTTGGTCATCACGCATTGGTTAATATATTTAGGCGTTCCGCCACAGTTAAGGCACTCCTGGTCTTCTTAGCCTTTCAAAACTTTTTGAAATGTGACCAAACCTACCACACATCGGCCAGGAGAACACATTAGTTTAATTTAATAGATTTAGGGAAAGATTTTCCGTTAAAGCCAGTTTTCGTAATGATTGTAGGGACGGAAGCATTTTTGTCATCTGGATTTTTCCTCCGAAGCCTTTATAGTAGCACCAGAAACCGCATTTTTAATAAAATCATTGACATCGTAATTTAATGCGACTTTTAGAACTATATCGGTTCTTTCCAGAAATTTCTTTCTTTAAGGTTTCCATTTCATTACCGTTAATGAATGACTTACCATGGAGGGCAGTGTTGAAAAATGATCTGAATCTGCCCTCGTTACCCGTTTTGGGCCCTTTTAAGACAAACATCTCAAAACATTTAAGAGGAAAGATCGGAGGAGATATTCATATGTTTCAACAAATACAAAGAGACTACACTGCATGCCAAAATCGTATAAATTGATTTCAGAATTTGAAATATCTTTGGCACCCAAACCAGAAGCATTATTAAAAATCTGGTTATTAAGCAACGTTCGATCATCTGGTAAGGGAGCGAACTCAACACCATTCCCAGTTATCCTCGATTAATAATTTTCAAAGACATTTTCATCCACAGTAAGCGGATGAGACCCTGTCGCCATAGAGACGCAGACTGATATGGTTTTAGCTATCCTGAGAAGTACTTACCAAAAATCCGGAAGCAGAAGAAAGAAAAAAAAAATTTTGACAATGGAATTCACAGGATTGAAAATTAAAACAATAGTACAATTTTCCACTTGAAAAAAAAAATTTTTATATCAATTATTATTAATTTTAATTTTATTTCATTTTCCTTTAAAATCGATTCTACATTTTTTTTATATTTTTACCTTAACATAAAAACGTTATACAATATTAATTTAATAAAAAAAAAAAATTAATAAACAATTTCCTTACTGGAATATATTTCGAAAAAAAGATAAGGAAAATAGACAGTTCAATACCGTACACGTAGATAGTTATAAAATAAAAAACACAAAACCCATAGTGTGTATACTTAACATCTATTTTTAGAACTTGGTCCGAATGTTCTTACTTGTTTACTTTTGTTTTATATTATTGATTATAAGCCCTGAGCGCGCTGACACAACTTTCGCAGTACTTTGAATATCACTGCAACCATATAACTCTTGAACTCCGCACAATTGTTCAATATATTTTCCAGTTAATTCACAATTCCGGGGTACGCGTTATTTGTTACATTTTCAAATTTTCGTTTAATTTGCTTTTTGTATAAGATAAGGAAAATTTATTTAATCAGAAAATAATCCTACAAACGTTTTGCGCACAAAACTTCCTGGGTCAAATATAAACAACTTGACTTGGTCGCTTTTGCATTTATTTAGCTCAGTGACATTCTGGAGAACAAACTGATTCTTATGGGTAAACTTATGATTTATTAACACATATTCTCATTTGTTTGGAATTTCTATACAAATTATTGAGAATATATACGCTTATACTCTCAGGTGGTTGGCTTTTTTACAAAGACCTGTTGAATTATTGAGAATGAATATGCGCATATTCCTTAAAATGGTATAAAAATTTGGCCATGTACGAGAGTAAGCGTATAAAACTGAAAATGATTCTTGGAAATGGCACGTAAAAGCAAAAACAATATCATGGTTATTATACTTTCTCCAAAATTCAACATTCAAATCAGCCCTTTCATCTCTAATTATGAGATGTATATGCGGGAACCACGACCCGTTTTCTTTTTCTTTTTTTTTTTTGTTCATCACAATTTTTCCGATATAAACAAACGATATTAAAGAGAACGTAAGAGAGAGAGAGAGAGAAGGAGAGAGTAAAGAACTGAAATGCGAACATTTATTGAAATTGTTTTGCCGACGGCTTTTGTTAAATTGGTTTGTTAGATAATTTGGTCCGTTAGATAAATTGGTCCGTTAGATAATTTGGTTCGTTAGATAATTTGGTCCGATATTTCATAGCTGATTGGTTAAGTTGTTAGTTGGGCACTCAACCATTTATATAAGCGACTCTGTGCCTTGCCTTTCAAATTTAGCGAGGGCGTTGTTTAAAAATTACGACGGTTTAATTCTAAGCTAACTTGTAAAATAAAAGAAATTAAGAAATTTTATAATTGCGAATTTTATCTATTGCGCTGTTCATGTATTGTGGTCAAAGCAAAAGAGTAGTTATAACATAACACACGAAATAAATTTTTTTTTAACTTGCGATATTACAAATAAATATTAAATTTTAAGATTCCAATCTGCTCTACGACTTATCATCTATTATTTTCAAATTTCTCTCATTATAATTTCATTTTTTAAATTTTAATTGAAAGAAAAATAAAAGAAAAACAGTTTCAGACTGAATCTTAGATACCTACCATTTTAAACAAGTCGATACAAGATCACAGCAGTTATTTAAAATTGACGAAATAGTGCAAATATTTTTTTTTTTTCACGCAAATACATTTTTTTTTAAGTCATGTGGATAACCTTTTTCAAACATAGAAGTGTGCCTAAAGAATTTTCAAATTCAACTGGTACGAACTTAATTCAGCTGTTAATCTGAAAAAGACTTTGTAGAATCGATACACATACACATGCAATAAATTTAACTAGAGAATAAATTCTTTTCTTTTAAAGCGCACTTGAGATTTGAAGTCACTCGGGCGGATAACTTGTAAAATTAAATAAGTTTAGTTGGCGTATTTTCCAAAACACTATATATACATCTGGAGGAGATGATAGAAGAGCAAAAGCGACCAAGTCAAGGAAGAAGAATCGGAAACAATCAGGAAACCATTAAAACCATTAAAAAGATTACCAATTTCTTTTATATATATATATATATATTTTTATACATATTAATAAAATATTTTAAATGTATAAATGAAGTTATTATATAAATAAAGCTATTTATATTTAAATATAAATTACATAAATTAATACACAACAGACAACCAAAAATAAAATTAAGGCGCAAAACATAACATTTTTAATTTTCATTTAACAAACTGAACAATAAAAAAACAAAACAACAACAAAACAAAAAAAATTGAAACTAAATTAATTCAATAATTAAAAGTAATTCAATTATCTTATCTTAATGTTATTAATTAAAAAAGTGAAAAATGAATATTAAGGCCAAAAGTAATTAATTATCTTGAGTATTAACTGTTCCTTCGGCTAGTGTTGGTGGGTCAGACAACGTTGCCGGTAAATCACAACCGAGGTAGGCATCATTATCGGCGCAGTAATTTATGATCATATGCCAACGAGGATCCAAAAAGAGTGTGTCGGGGTTGCCGTATATCATAAGAAGGCAACGAGGCCGAGAAATTGCGAGTTTGGTTGACCTTTCGTTTTGTATGAATCCTAATCCATGGTGCATATGTTACGTACATGCTCCATGCTTGATCTCACTCTATCGCGTTCCTAAAAACAACCAAGCGAAATCAACATTAGTATTAATTGCAACATTAGTGTAATTTTAAGAAAGTCATACCTGTCCTTGGAATTCCTCCACATTGCCAATTTTAGGCATTGCTACGTCGGCATCATCAAACAGTTTTCGCAAATGTTTAACCTGTTTCATGTACGGATGGATTCAGCTTTAATGTTATTACGATACATCTTAACTGTCATTAGGAAGATCTTGAAAAAAATAAATAAATTTTATAAAATGCTAGATAGAAGGGATTGTACTTTTAAACTAAAGAGAACTTACTTCCTTCGCTTCGTAAGGATTATACTATGACGGCGAGTCTTTTTCCTGCATATTTTCACTTTGTATTCCGCAGAAGAATATGCCATGTGTTTTGGACGACTTGCAGATTGCGGGAGTAAATTGTCAAGCTGTTTCAGCATATTAGCTTCTCTAGAATTCTCTTCTCTTATAGTTGGTACCAGTTCCGCATTGTAAAACAGTCCATTATAAACATTCACTATGGAGGGCAACGCCCGGTAATTGTAGAGTAATTTTGTAACCAAACGAGGATCAAAACCACTTGTAAAAGGAAAACTATGAATATCTCTTAGGTATGGAGGAAGCGAAAGTATTCTCTCCATAAATGATAGCGAAAGACCGCGTTTACGAGCATATATATTTGTTTATAACGACTGGTTGGAATGTTGACGCGGCTGCAAGTGATGGTGCTGATGTTGTTATCTAGATGACTGGTTTTATGCTGCTGATGGTAGCGACATGTACTTTACATTGAAGATCATAGAACGCAAGGGGAAGCCTGGAAACGTATTATGAGGCTTAAAATGCTTAGTTTTAACGTGCAATCCGAATACAATCCTTTCTGCAGCTCTGCTTTCTTGTTTATTGCCATACATTTTTCAAGAGTCAAAATCCAGATAATTTTTTCCCTTTTTTCTTTTGCTTTCAATTTATTATTAAATTGCTGCCATTAAGGAGTTTAAATGAAGCAATTGTCACTATCAGCACACAATACGTTTTCATCATCACCATCTCCACCAGAAAGTTTGTATAAAACTCAGCTGAAAGTATTTTTTCACATTTTTATTGCACTTTATTTTTACAAATAAATTAATTGTGCAAGCTTTACACGACTCCCGAAGGCAACATTTGTAACGTTGTTGCTGTCATTGCCACTGTCCTTTCCTATTAGCACAATTATCCTTTTACACGCTTATTTATCGGTTTCTTTTTGATAATTGTCTGATCTTTGCATTATGTTTTCACACCTCTTTGTTAACATTAACCCACACATATGCGTACATATGAATATAAATTGGTAGAATACTAAATAATGACGATGTTCATTGCAGATATGGCAGATATAAGCGCACATGCACAATTAAGGCACTTTGCGGTTAATTTCTCGTTGACCATTTTTTCTCAATCTGTACATCTTATAATTTATCATGCACGTAAAGGCATACATTTCGATTTTTTTTTTGTTTATGTCAAGAACAAGCCACTAGGTTTACTACACCAGGCGAATCCCAAGAAAAGAAAATATGTTTTTTTTAATTTAAATAAATATGTGTTCCCAGGGTAAACGACTTATTCAATATTTAAATCGTAATTTGACTAATTTGGACTAACACTAAGCGTACATAATCATTGGCAACCCGCGGGCGGAATCTTGGATTAATTTATTGTTAGAAATTTTATTTTTAATAAATAAATGTTTGATATTCTTCTTCAGTTAAAATGAAAGAAACGGGAAATTTATTACTTCATTATGCGACTTTTAACCATACTTTCTGCAAATCTTCACTCGCTCCCCCACAAATTCCAAATCCGAACACCTTTAAGCCTTGCATGTTTTTTCCTTTTCTTTCTTCTTTTTTTTTCTACTGCTATACCAGGCATACCAACAATTACTGAGAGTCGCCATTGAGTTTAACAATGAGCTACAGGAATGCATTCGCAACTAACGTTACAAACCAAAAACTAGATGCTACAAATAGTTATTTGACATTGCTTCGTAAATAAAGAAAATTCCCTCAGACTCAGGAAATCCCATCTACCGTCCTTACAAGGCTTAAACGCTAACAAAAAATAACTTTTGGACTGAAAATGTCATTACAGTTACTCTTAATGGAGGAAACCCACATAAACGTAAGCATATTTACCTTGATATTATCTCTTTTTAATAAACCCAAAAAAAACCTTCTTCGCAACGCGTTAATGGTGCAAAGTTAATGTACCTAGGCACTCGTAGATATTGTTTATAATAAATGAGTTAATTCGCACTTTCCCTTGAAAAGCAAAATTCGCGCAAGATTTCAATTTTGCGCAATTTGTGTGATGAACTATTAAAGAACAGAGTAAACAGTCTAGAAAGATCATTTTAACACAAAACATTGAAACCGTGGCCATTGGTTCGGCACCCTGGTCAAAAAAGGAATATTTCGAAAAGCTCTTTACAATTCTCACGAAATTTTTGTATCTTCATGCTTGCAAAGTTGAGAAGTGCTTTTGAGAAAAAAGTACCTAAGTGTCGATAGTCTTAAAGACCATTTATTCGATGTGCCACTTCCTATATAGCCATCTTTAATGAATCAATAAATAACAATATTATAGCCATGCAAGTCCAGCCTTTAATTACCCTGTAACCCCTTTGACTAATACAGTCATTCATTTATTTTTATGTAAAAACCGTCATATTGGAAGATGCTCAAGACGCCAATTGGTGCAGTTCTAATCGTCTTTTCACCCTATAAGAAATTAGTTTCCGTAAGGACAGTTAGCAATGGGCTTAAAAAATTGCTCCAATCAAACTACGTTTTCATACCCATGTAGAATGCGGAAACACAGCATTTTTTCATATAACAAGTTTTCCAAATAAAATGTTAAATGGATGGTAGTAGAGAAAGTGGCCCAATCTGAACCATTTCTAACTTATAGGTTAAACACATGCACATATGGATCATCAAACAAGCTTATGGAGACATCAAACAAGCTTACTTTCTGAATCATTCTGTACATTCTGCGTGTTATATACATCCGCACATAACTAATATATGCTGTGCCACAAGTAGTGTAGGATATAAAAATTGACAATGTTTAATTGCAAGCCAATGTTTTCTTTCAATATTGTTTCTATTCTATATTAATAACCATTTGCCAGCTAGAATATGTTTGTTAATGACTTAGCTGCCTACACCCGATAATTCGGACTAAACCATTTGAGAAAATTATATTGCAAGTAAACTTTATAAAAACACTATGGTCCCCAATGTCTATCTTGATTGAAGCGGTTCATATCCCTTCAGTTGAAACGGTTGGCCGCATTCCCTGGTTTTTTTGGTATAAGTTTTTTTTTGGCTTCTAATGATCCGAATTGCAGCAACACAATGTAACTTAGCCAAGTAAAATTGGCCTTCATCAATACCTAATTATAATCTCTGTCTCTATGGTAGCGCGCACTTCTGACAAAAGCGAATATACAACACTCTAGCTGTTATCTTTTTAAGATTACATTAGGTAAAAATAGTAAAGCTTCGCTTTAAGACAATTATAGCTTTCCTAACTGTTAACATTGTCACTCTCCTTAAAATTCTTTTGAACGCTTTATTTTCAAGTCGTTGGATTTAAATTTTGGTTCAGACTTAAGCCTACTAAAAGGTATATTTGCTCGATCCTGACCTTTTCCTTAAAGAGACGAATCGTGTAATGAACTGCTGCTCATTTTCCATACAAATGTAGGTACTTTTTGCCGGATTACATGGAATAACTTTATCGATTTTCAGACTGGATTTGGCAGTTTTTACAAAACTTAAAAGGAATTTATTTTAAAAAAACTTGAAGAGTTTTAGCATTTCAGACCAATGAGCTCAAACACACTTGATGGAGATCTTTCTTCGAATATCACGATTCAAGCCTTCAGTAAAAGCCAGTTAAAGGCAAGTCACCAATGTCACACTTGATTCTGATTCTTCTATGGTGTATTCAGCCGGCAACTGCATTTGACGCCTATTATTCCTCACTTCATTGGTGGCGGGTAGAGCAGGGCAAATCATTCAGTGCACACACAGCTTTTCTCTACAATCTTTTATTGATTAAAGAAAGATACTTTTCAATTTGTTCAAAGCATATAAGTAATTATAAATTTATTTCGCAGAAACGTCAAGAATTCGTATGTTCAGCTTTAAAGAATCATTTCTAATAATTCGATTAATATTAACAATGAACATAATTTTTTTGAAACAAAATTTGATTTTTTCGATAAACTGATTTTAAATTGAATTTAAATATTAGCGGTTGTTGCTTGCTTTTTTATGTAATGTTAATAAAAAATGAGAAATATTGTGAATGAATAACGAATGAATTTAAAATATATTCGCCGTCGGGGGCAAATCTTTAATACTCAACATTATCATGGACGAATTTAAAGAAAGATTTTTAAGTGAGGAGTTTCTCTCTGAACAAGCTGATTAGTCGTTTTAAAAACTTTTTTCAAATTGATGCAATTCGTAAGTGATCGACAAGATCTTTTCTCAAGTTTTCATTTTCAACAGTTTCTTCGACATTCGCTCATTCATTTGCACAGTGTCGCTTAAAAACATTTAACAGCAGACATACTGTTCGTCAAATGGTGAGTATATTAAAATAATATGAAAGTTTGTGAAAAAACGACTTTTTCGAAAGCATGTTTTTACATGAAAATGATAGTTACGGAATGTATTGAATACATAGATTTGGTTTTTGTAACGATAAGTAAGGTAAGATTTTAAAAAACATCTTAAGCTTTTTAATAAAAATTTCAAATAAAAAAAAAAAAGGTTAGAAAGTAAATTAAATTCGTTGAGAATCGTGCAATTAACGGTCCCGTATAGCGCGCTTTTCGGCCAATAGCAGTTCATGAGTGTAAACATCTTCGTCAGTCGACACATCAATCAGCTCCAATTCGAGTATTGAGGTGTTTGGCGTACCGCTAGATTTATCATGAGATATATGTTTAATGGAAGCAATAAATGTTTGACCTACGGTAATTTTGCGAAAAAACAAACAATCATCCAAAGTCCAATCGTCGCTAATAGCTTTGATACCTATGCAAAGAAGTATTTTAGTCATTTCTGAAAAAAGAATTTTTTTTTTTTTTTTATAACAAACTTACCGTAAAGTTTAGCTTGTATAGCCATTTTCGGCAATTGGCGAAATTTCAGAGGTAAAATTTTCAATTGGCTACTGGTTAGAATAGTTTCATCACCGAAATCACAGAATGATACATGGATCATATCGCTGTGCTTTTTCACAACGGTAGCTCTAATAAGTACAATACAGTTTCTTTTAATTAATTCTACTAGTATTAGGTTTTTTAGAAAGTATTAAGCCGTTGCTTCTTAAGCTTAAAAATCTACTTGTTATGGAATGTGTGTATGTGCTGATTTCATATTCATCGTTTCTTCATGTTCTTTATGAAAAAATTATTACAAATACGTTTTGGGAAAACTTTCGTATGAACTAAGACAGATGGCATATGAATTAAGTATCAGGCTACACGCCTGAGTGGCCGTGTAAGCAAAGAATCTCGACTAACAAAATTCAATGGTCGCGGCTTCGAGTCTCAATTGCGGTACAGTTTTCAATAAAGCCGATAAACTTAGGTTCTAGTGCTTTAAGTCTCTAGTCTTGGAATTTATTTCTCTTGGATTGCCATATATTGTGGATAGTAACATTATTTAAAAAAAAACAAGGCTTAATACTTTTTTAGTATTTCATATTTTACTTGTTACTTACCGATGATAAAAACCATCGGGATTTTTGGCAGCATAGGCTTGACCTATTTCTACCATATCAGTGGCTATTAGTTCATCATTAGTATCACAAAACTCTTGCAATTCTTTCATCAATTGTTTCAAACGTGGATAGTCTTTGTATGGCTGAATCTGAAATCAAAAGGATTCCTTTAATAAATAACCATGATTACATAAACTTTATAATACCGTAAAATTGGAAGGATTCGCTGATAAGGTAACGCGTACCTCAAAGTATTCATTGGCTTTTGGCATAGGTTCGTAATCAAGTAGCTTCGGTAGTGTGCCTAATTTCTGAGGCGAGCTTGAACCAGTACTTAAGTTTGCGGCATTTATTGTGCCACTCAATCTTGAAAGTGAGCCCGTTTTCTCTCCTCTCTGACCTTTTGGAGAATTCACCGCATTATTTGAATCATTAATGTCACCAGAGCAACTAAGTGAAGAAAGAGATTTTAGTTTAATGATGTAAGTTAAAGTTCAGTGCAATGTAAAAAAGTATTTTTCCTCTCTGCTTTAAAACTTTCGAAAGTTTAAAAATTTTTTCAAAGGAAAATAATATATAATGTTGAGCTGATTTGGAAATTTTAATAAAGATAAATGCCGAATTCTTGATTGAATAGATTTTTTCAAAAAAGTGAAGAAGCATTTGTGTACCGAACATAAGAATGGCAAAGATTTTATTATGGGCCACTCTCTTTGATGTATTAGGACGAATAGGACTCGAGTTTTTAATGACAGTATAGCACCATTTTTCAACATACCCTTCCAGTTCGTGTTCAATACGTATGGCATCATTAACGGTACACAATGTTCCAGAAGCCTCCAAACGAGTATATATCGTAACCAATGGCGTAGCACCGGGTACGGCCAATTTTACCTAAATTAAATATTATATTTATTATATAGAAAAAATATGCTTGAGAACATTCTGGTAAAACCTACCAGGGCTTCACAATTGATCGGCAATAGTCCACGTATGCGTGCTACTATTTTATTTGCTATAGTTGGTATATTGTGCAACCTTACTTTAATAGCTTGTGCTGGGAACTTGCTTAAGGCTACACTTAAGCTTTCTAGCAAAAATATTTTTGACATATTTGTGCGACGCACTATACCATAATCAACATAACAAACGTTGTAATAACCATCATCTGGAGGGCAATGCGTGGAATCAATCAGAGCACCGCGATACCATTTCATATTTCCATCCCCGCTGCTGTCGTCATTTTCTTCACAAATTAGAAGCAGATTTGAACGTTTCAGATCGTCTACAGTCACCTTGTGTTGTTCTCGTTTGAATTTTGATGCCACAATTTGTTGCAAAAGTTTCTAAAAAAGTGTTCAGAATTAACACTATACTAATACTTAGTCAAAGTACCACATTCACCTGTAGATATTTCATTTCTGGACTTCTTAATTGCACGTATATGTCGCCGTTATCGGAGACAGACGTTACTAAGACATTGTTTACCGTATGTTTTCTTATTTCAGGTGCTGGCGTATTATTGCAAATGTTATCCAACAGAAGATGATTTAGGTTGATATCGTCTTGGGTGGAGGTATCAAATATTACGACTTGTATTTTACTGCACGATTTTAAATTGGCCGCGTTGAATTCTCCTTCTTTGGTGAATATCTTTCCGACTACAGATTTAGTAGGCAAAAGCTCATCCAAGTGCTTGCATGCAAAGGGATTTTGCTCAAAGTCTTCTAAGCCACATAAGGAAAACGGTACCGCCTGGGCGGGCAAAGATAAGAAGTTAGCTTCACAAATGTATAGTTGATCCACGGGTAACCAATCAATATCTCCGAAATCGACAAAGAAGCATAGAGCAGTACCCTTGTTCTTATCCAAATCTTCAACTCTCACACGATGCCAACAATCGTTTATGGAAATCAAATAGATACGCTCACGCACTACTGATGCCGGGCGTTCTTTGCGCCCGACCATATAATCTTCGATTTCATTCATAAGTGCGCCAAAGCGAACGTTATACTCATTACCAAACAAACGACCCCATACTTCGATGGTTGATGCGCAATGTGTGATAAATATATTCCAATAGTCTTCAGACCAAGGTAGGCTAATGGCTTTCAGTTCTAACACAGTGGATACATCGATATCGCTTGCTTTGCAATTGTTGAACTGATGGAGATCTGAAAAAAATGTAATTTTTTTATTAAAAATTTTTATAAATTAAAAAATTTTAAAAGAACTATTTCAAAACCTGTTGATTTATCTTCCTTTTTGGCATAGACAATCAATGCATTTTGATATTCCATTTCCGTATAAAATTTACTTGATGTTTGCATTAAAGTCCACCAATTTTCGGGTAATGATTGATGAAATGTCGACTCAAACCACTCAGGTAGATTTTTTACGAAAATACCGCTATGACGATCCAGCAATTCTATATAGAGTTTGTTTATCAGCTCCGTATCCGTAAAAGAGCAGGTTGGCAGCGGTTTTTTATGGTCTTGAGCTTTAAACTTTTCTAGAACTATTTTAGCGCAGGCTTCCTGAGCTAAGTATTCATTTTCATATTGAAGGGGATACGTTGAGAATATTGAATCATTTATATGCACTTGACACGAATACGAGAGTTTCGGAAGCTTGCTTTTGATGACCTTATATATAGGTTGGGAATAACCATATCCGACGCAATATTGTGCCAGTTCATTAATAGCTTCCATTTTCACATTGTACTTAGCAGTTTGTTGAAAAGGCTATATTTGGAAAAAAAATCCTAATTAATATTACAATTCTTTTTTCGGCCCTGACAAATCCTTGTTATAAATATTCCCGAGAAGAACATTTTTTTTTTCACGCAAAGCCATAACAAGGACAAGTGTTCATTGAGTTCCAAATTATCTATAAATTTTCTTTTGTTAATTTTGTAACAATTTTGTCCTAAAATTTAATGAATTGTATAAACCTAATACTAATACGTTGCGTACTATTTAATTTTTCGTTCGATACGAAAACATTTAAAGTCGAAGTTTTACGGTTTTAAAGGAATCTGAGAAAGTGCCGAGAACAGTGACTATTTTCAGACGGAGGTTAGTGTTATTCAGTTGGCGGGTATATACCAAGGTTATGCTTTTTTGGCCGGTTCGGACGGACGTACAAGGATATGTTTTATGCTGATCAAGAATATGATGCGCATTTGTGGCGATTGGAAACACAAATTGAACATTTATTAAACATTTAGATAGTGTACATAAAGACTTACCGCTAATTCTGGCTGATAATGGCATTTAAGGCGATCTTGCAAAGTTCTAGCAGTTTGCACCAAGTGATTTGGTTGTTCCTTCGGGATTATTGCATTTGTTGAATGTTGATTGTCGAGTAAGTCTAGATCTTTACTTTCACTTAAAATTCCATTGCTCGGAGTCCCTTGCCGCATCGCAGGTTTAAGGGCGTCTTGCGTAGCCGGCTTTTCCACCACCTTTTTTGGTTCTTTTCTAGGTAGCTCTTGTACAGTATAATTTGCAGTAGATTTTTGAATCAGCTTTTGCACTTCCTGTTTAGTGTTTTGACCAGTGATTTCTTTAAATGGTTTCTGAAGTTCTACTTTAGGCAATTGTTGAGACTGACTTTGTCCTGGGTGAAATAATTTTTCAGGCGTTTTTATATTTTGGCCCTTTTGAGCAGGCTTTGTAGCCGCCCCTAATATGGGCCTAAGAGCATTTAGCTTCGATTCCTCTAAACGTTTTTCCGTTTGTTGCGCGTTTATAGGGGACACTTGTGCTTGGCGCTTCGAATTAAGTCTCTCTCGCAAATCTTTTGATTGATTAGAAGCATGACCAATTGATTTTGAGTTTTGCATAGAATGATTCGATGATTTTCGAGATGGCGTATTTGAATGCTGATTATATTGGTTGATATGATGCGAGCTGTTATTATTACGGTCACCAAATCCACCTCCCATCGTACCACCAATATATGAAACGTTTCGATTTGGCTGACGCATAGACTTTACCGCGGCGACACGTGAAGATTTAGCACTTTTTTGCCCCCTAACTAAGGCGGCAATATGAGCAGATTTATCATTATATTTTACTGTAACGACAGTCTGCAAGAAAAATCAAATAATTATAATCGAATGCAACAGCTATGTAATACTAGTTCATGCTTGCAACATACATCACCATTCCTATAGTCAGTAAATATAAATTCGCCTGTTTCCGCTAAAAGTTCTTTGGCAGTTTTATAGCCCAAACTGCGGTATGGTAGAGAGGTGCTTTCAACGTCAGGATAATCTTTAAGTATGTCGCGGAGGAAACAGGGTGGTTTACGCGAATTAATTAAAGCGCGCACAATTGAAGCAATATGCTTCAGTTCAGGTCTCTTACCATTACTATTTCCACAGGACATCGTTCTAAAATAATGCAAACAATTGTTGACATTTAAGTTGATTGTTAACAAAAATGAAGCAATGAAAAATATTTAAATTTACTATATTGTACTTTTTTCAATTACAAGGGTGTGGTGTTCAGTGGTATGCGCTAGGTTATGAAATTTGCGGTTGTGTGAGAAAAAAATGTTTGCTTTCACTTTTGCAAATATCACGATATTTATCTATTTTTTTGTTACGTGCGCGCGTATAAGTTGCAACACTCTCCAATCTTATTTTGCAATTCACATTGATCTGCGCTTTATTATATGACAGAAATTTCAAATGATTCTCTTCGTTTTTTCGGTCAAAAAAAAAAAAAGTTTACTTGTTGAAGTTTTTTCGCTTACTTCGATGTTATATGCCTGCAGGCAAAACCAAAAGTACACAAGAAATCGCGTACTCTGTCACAAAAAGGGGGCAAAATGAGGCAGCAAAAATTTCGCCTGCTGCTATCTGATTTCAATAGCTTAAAGTTTTGTATGCTTATGCATGTATAGTTGAACTGAAACTACGAATCGCAAAATAAATCGTATATACACAATATTTGCCCGATAAGAAAGCCACAACACTATTGGTAATTTTTTCCTAATAAAAAAAAAATCTTTTCGCAAAACAGCTGATGTAAACAATAAAATTGCTCTGCCTTAGCACGAATTATCAATTCCTTAATAAAATAATTAAAAATTCGCTTTAAGAAATCGACGTGAAAATGGCAACCTGGAACGATACGAATTATTTCGCATAGTGACTGCAAATTGTTATTACCCAGAAACCCTTTTGCATTTGTTATTTAGTAATTTCTCATTTTATTGATAGTATTTAGTAATTTTGTAAATTTTTAAATAAAAACATCTTTCCCGAATTTTAAGCTTTATGTAAGAAACTCAGATTGTCAAAAATGCCCAGATTCATATTATAATTTCTAAATTCTCATTTGTCCTCTTTTTTGATCTTTTTCATTTTTACTGACACCAAAATTCAACGCAATCGGTTCAGTAAAAATTCATAAGCTCTGCTGTGCTTATTTTTTTTTTAATTTTACATATTTTTTTCACGTGATGTGGAAAAGCCTATATTAAATATGTTTAAGTGTACAAAAATTAAGAAATTTCTTACTTTCATATTTACTATTATTTTGTTGGTTTAAAATCATAAAATATCTGTTTTCATACCAAACCAGTTATTACATATTTCTTCTGCCGTTGCAAACTGTTATTCTTATATCTTCTTTTTTATTTAAATACGTCGTCTTAGCAGCGGCTACTCAGATAAAAATGAAGCCAATTTAAATATTCTTTCTTTTAGAGGAATCTAGTAGTTTTTCCAAAACCATTCAAATTACACTTTGCTCGGTTGACGTCTTGCTAATTGTAAACAAAATTTACAGTTTATGTAAGCAAAATTCAAAAGTGCGCTGCTGTGCTATTTATTAGGATTTCTGATTCCAGTCGTTTCATTTGTAAATAAGATGAAAAAAGAACAGAACGGCAAAAAATATGTGATTACAGAGATTTTCAAAGCACATCAATTGTTAATAAGTTTGAAGTCGATATCTTTTTTTTTGCGACCAGAAGAATGCCGATAAGAAATGCAGCACAAACATACAGAATTTAACGTTGATGAAAAATGTACGTAATTTGAATAAAAATTATGGCAAAAAATCTGTAAAAAAGGAAAATTTGTCCAAAATGAAAGGAGAGAGAGAAAGCTTCGTCTCATTTGATGAGGAAGCAAATGCTTATTACATCACAGCAGTAATAACGCTAATCGGTAAGTAAGGAAATTGAAAACGATCAGCAGCGGGACAGACGAACTGCTTTTTGACGGCGTCGCTAATGTCAATAATTTCATTAAAGGCAATGAATTTAAAAACAAAAATCTAAAGGCGCATATTATCGGAACATTCATTGAAGGTTCCGAGATAGTCCGGGAGAACATCCGGATTCGTTACGATTTAAAGGACGTTTCTATGAATATCGTATTCCGACCTATCCGTAATTAGACTTCATCGCGCGAGCCTTGAAAACACTAAAAATTTCGTCGCGATAACCAGTGTAAACATCGACTTTAGAGCTAAGTCGACCTTGAAGGCTAAAAAATACAACTACAAACGGCGACTGAAAAGAAAGCGTAACAATTGATTGTATATCTTATAAGAAGTTCAAAGTTGAATGCTTACCACAATTCTACGAACATTCTTCATCGTAAAATCTATTATAACTAATCTATATATCTTCATCAACGTGGCATCGCTATTTTCCACAAAAATGTCAGAGAGGATATAAACAGGGTGTTTACCAAAAAAAGAAAAAAAACTATCGTGGGGTGCATAAACGACATCCAGACGTATCCCAACGAACGTTTTTTGTATTCGTATGTAAACAAAAAATCACTCCTAAAAGTGGAAAACATTATCTTTCGCACTTTACCAACCAGTTAAGTCAAAGCTTGTGACAGCCCAAATAAGTGCGTTTGATGGAATTCTCTCGGCTTAGACTGTCCAGAACACAAAAGTTTTTGAGTTTTGTATTCCGTTGGTGCTTTCAAGATAGTTCGTCCCGCCATCTGGGATACACTTGAAGCCTTGGTTACAGAAGCTATACCATTGTATGGAATATTTGGAAAACTTATCATGCAAGCTCGACGTGTGGGGTCGATTCGTATGCGAAGCGGGTTGCTGCAAATGGGCGCTTTTCATGGTGCAGCTTTGTTTTTAGAGGAACATAAAACGATCAATTCGTGCGTACCCCCTAATGTCCCTCATTGATTTTTTATCAATTTTTTATGTTTTTCATTCAAATTTCCATACCCTTCCTGATTGATTTTTCAATTCAATTTCAGTCAAAATATTTGACCAGCGTGCGCACCCCCTAATGCCCCTCATTGATTTTTAACCAATTATTTTTGAATTACTCCCAGATGTTATTCGTAGTAGTTTTTTCAATGCAAAAGCTGTTAACAAATACAGACTAACTCTTTGAATTATTCTCAATTGTAAACAAATTCAGACACATATTGTCGCCAATATGAAGAGATGTAAATCAAAGTAGTACAAGAAAACAAATATGATAGTTATTTAGATGCATTATAAAATCATAATTTATTAAATTTATCTAAAAAATTTTTTTGGCAATAAAATTATCAAATATAAAAATTGTTATTCAAGTTGATGTAGTACGATCATTAAGATCATTACTCACGATTTTTAAACGGAATTCATACGAAAAGTAGTGAGATTTTATTATTTATAGGAAAACAACTCTTTGTTTTCTCCATACATGCTCCTTTTGCAGCTAACGGATTCTGGAAACCGGCAGAAATTTGCAGGCGCAAACGCGCATTGCTATTTTTGCTGCAGTTGACCATCAGTTCCTCCCACCTTTAAATTTTTATATATTTTAAGGTTAAAATATGACGAATTTTAATGAAAAATTTCATTATGCCCTCTCCCGACATCTTCGGGACTACACGAAGTTTTGGCGTCGGCAAGCGGGGCTACAATTCGGCCAGTACCAGGAACTGGCCGAAAAAGTAAGCCAGGAGATGCAGGAGCAGGTGTCAGCGCAATAAGTAATACGCACACTAAAAGCAACAAGGAAGCGTCTGCAACTATTGGAAAAAGGATTGTCCACCTCGACGAAAACTTGCGCATACCATAGATGCTTCAATATGGTCGGGCCGGCGAGATCATACCGGCCACCGCGCCTGCGCAGGAAAAACGGCAGCGTGAAGCGAGCCCGGGCATCAACCTGGCTGACGGCGCCCCGCCAACATCAACGGGAAAGACGAACGACATCGAACTAACTGATTTCACGTCGTTCGTAGAAGCTGCTCCGCAATCAATACAAAAAAATGACGATAGGCCGTCCACTCCTGCTGACGCCGCGCCTGCGCAGGAAATACGGCGACGTGAAGCGAGCCCGGAAGCAGTGAGCGTCAACCTGGTTGATGCCGCTAGTGGTCCTGAAGCAGTGGAATTGGCGTAGGAATCGCCAACTGAGTATAGATAAAAAACATATACATATAGAAATCCGGATGTAAATTAGTTATCTGGGAGAGTTACCGCCACAAGATTTCTCATTAAAATTGAATAAAGATTATTCTAAAATTGAAAAAAATGGTTTTTTTCATTTTTCATAAAATTGGATGTTATTTTTTTTTCCACTTTGAATACACTTAAAAAGTGTATTTTTCTTTTGACAGTTGGATACACTTTTATGCGCCATGCCAAGTCGCGGTTCTGGACCCTAAGAGCAGCCATCCCAATTCGCAACGCACCGTATGGCACGTACGCAACAATTGATTTATTCCGGCCTGCTGTAGTGTCATACATCCAGGGAGCAATCAAAGCTAAGATGCTGCCCGTTGACACCTCCCTGGCGAATTAAATATGCGAATTCATTAGGAGTATGACAAAATTCGTAAACGCGTT